CACACACGCACACACACATGCACACACACTACAGACGCACACCCACACGCAGTCCTTATTCATCACAGAAGCATCAGCAAAATGCATCCTGGACAGATTGTCCGGGTTCAACCTGCTGAGGAGTAGGTGAAAGTCTGGCGGAACAGTCTGGCAAAGTCATGCTTCTTTTCACGAGTTGTACATAGGGAACATATCCCCCCCCACCCACCCACCCACCCACACACACACGCAATGCTTTCCGCTGTGTTCTATAAAGCGAACAAGATGCCACATTGCAGCCACAACACACGTACACACTGCCCCATTTTGGCTCTCAATCACGTTTTCTTTGTTTTTTTTTTGTCCACCATATGATCTTGATTACTCTCCCACATGTACAATAGACAACCTTCCACACTCATCTGCTCTATTTTTTTTTGGCAAGAAAGAAAACAAAAACGATGGCACTGCTTTACTTCACAACGACTCACATCCACTGGATCTCTTCACACCCATTTTAGTTCTTTTGTTTTTTCCTTTGTTAACATCTTATTGGTGTGATCGGCATCGGGGTGGGTGGCAGGGGTTGGGAATGCCGCAAACGTGGAAGCAAAGTCATTTTGAGAGACAAAGCAAACCCACCGGGATAGAGGTCTTGCATTGACTTGCAACATGCTGCCTAGGAAGGAAAAAAAAAAGCAACACAGTGGCACGCTCTTGCTCCTGGACCAATTTTGTGCTGCTCGTTCATTTGCTGGGTGTGGCTTCCCCCCTGGCTATTGTATACCTCTTGCCCCATCCTCCTCTGTTTGATCTACCCTTCTTCCCCTGAATAGAGCCGTATCTGGCTCACCATTCAGTCCAGATGCAGCACAATTCACCATATGTTCTACTCGGGAGAAGAAGAGTAGATCTGTGTTATTACCGCCTCTTTCTCTTACTCCTACACCTCCTCCTCCACTTCCTCCACCAACTCCTCTCCTCCACCTCCTCCTCCACCCCCTCCTCCTCCTCTTACACCTCCTCCACCTCTTCCTCCCACTTCTCCACCTCCTCCACCTCCTCCTCACACAGTCACTGTCACACAATTATTGCCACTCATTCACAGCGACGCAGTCATTGGTATGCAGCCTCACTGTCAGACAACCACAGTTCCATAGCTAGTCTCTCACCGTTTCCGTCCTTTTTTTTTTTTTTTTCCCCGGCTGTCTCAGCGTTTCCGTCCTATGGAGGACTAGATTAGTACTGCATTGAAAAGTCGTTATTAATGCAGCCCCGTTTTACGAAGCAACAGATGCGAGCCTGTTGGTGGGAGGTCTGGGGAAGTCGCGGGGGAGTGAGGGGAAGTCAGGGGGAGGTGGGTGGAAGTCGGGGAAAGTGTAGGGGGGAATGCGGGGGGAAGTGCCAGGGGAAAAGTGTCGGGGGGGGGGAGTGCGGGGGCGCGGGGGGGAGGGGGGGGGGGGAGTGGGATGCGGAAGCGGGGAAGGTGAAGGAACGGGAAGCGGGAAGCGGGAAGGGGGACATTGGGAGGAGGGGCGTCGGGATCGGGAACGGGAGGGGTAGATAGCCGGATCGGGACTGGGAGGGAAAGCGGGGGGGAGGCAAAGGGGATTGGGATGGCGTGGCCTGAGATCGGGATTGAGGTAGCGGGGTGGGAACGTGGCGGGGGAAAAGGAATCGGGAGGAGTTGGGCAGGGAAGCCGGAGTTAAGTTGGGCGGGAGAGTGCGCGTGCAGGTGCGCGCTAGGTAGGGGAAGTGAATACTGCATTGGTGTGGCCTGCGGGCTTGGACATTGGCTCACGAGTTCATTGTTTCGCTCTTATTTGGATGGAATCTTGGTGCATTGCAGCTCTCTACTTGTTCCATGACTATCTAGACTTCTGCGTGATTTTGCAACTTCGTTTTCTGTATATCCCTCTCGCTCGTAGTCCTTGCACCTGGCTCCACCTTGAATCAAACAAGTAAAACTGTAAAACAAAGTTAAAAGTAGTGGTATTTCAGGTAAGTCTGCAGCCTCGCGGCTGGTTTCATCTCCATCGATAGGATTTTGAATGAATCAACCACTAGAACATGGAAATATATATTGCCACACTTCTTTTTTTTTTTTTTTTTTTTTTTTTGTGTGTGTGTGTGTGTGTGTGTGTGTGAGAGAGAGAGAGAGAGAGAAAGAGAGAGAGAGAGAGAACAGGTAAGTCTGCAGCCTCGCGGCTGGCTTCATGGTACCTCTATAGATAGGATGAGCAAATCGAATGAGTTAACCGCCAGAACATGGAAACATACATTGCCACACTTTTTTTTTTCTTTTTTTTCTTTTTTTTTTGTGTGTGCGCCAGAGAGAGAACAGGCAAGTCTGCAGCATCGCCGCTGGATTCATGGTACTTCCATCGATAGGATGCGCAAAATGGAATGAATCAAAGGCTAGAACATGGAAATATACATTGCCACACTTTTTTTTTTTTTTTTTTTTTTTTTTTTTTTTTGTGTGTGTGTGTGTGTGTGTGTGTGTGTGAGAGAGAGAGAGAGAGAGAGAGAGAGAGAGAGAGAGAGAGAGAGAGAGTTTTCCCTGGAAAGGATAGCAACACACCCGCCAACAGGTAAGTCTCCAACCCGGCGACTGGCCTCACGCTTCTTCCATCGAGGGCCTGCATCTTGGATCGAGACGAAAAGGCAAAGCACTGTGTGAGGAATGTGCCCTCACAGGAACTTCATGAACGGGGGGGCCTGCTAAGCGTGTTGATACGAGCATCCAAGCTTAGCAGGGTCCCGGGTGTGAAGGCTCCATCTATTGCTGGGGAGCTGCACCTGCTGAGAACCCGGCCCAACGCCCCAATATTACATTGTATATTACATTGTATCTGACGTACACAGCTGCCAGAGTAGCTTAGTTGTTTGAACCAGATGTGTGCATAGAGTTACAGCAAGCTGTTGTGCCTTCCTGCAACATGCATATGTTCAGACTTTGGCCCCTATCAAGCCTTGTGCCCGCCCTAAGTGAAGACAGGCCTGAATATTCACGAGAAGTCCTCAGACAGATGCTTCACGTCAATTGGTTGAAGTGCAACCTGGGCCTCACCCTGGGCTCTTCCACAAGAAGCAGCTGTGTCGAGAAGTTGAGCCCAAGACGCAGGT